CACTTCCAACATGTCGTCATCCTCTTCGTGCAAGCACTTGGAGCTGTACACATAGATCAGCAGAAGTCAGATACCTCAGATCTGTCTCCTCTTCCAGCGGAAAGATATGAACTAGCACGTGTTGAAAGACAACTCCAACTTGTCCGAGCAACAAAGTTGCTTCATCTTACCCCAGCATTGCATGGATCGACTGATGGAAGGATGAACAGGGTATCCCGATTTAACCGCTTTGCAAATGGTGATCTGAGTGAACCTATCGCCTGGCTCATGATGTACGAGAAGAATCGTCGACTTCAGTATTATGCGGATACTGAAGACAATCGCCAAAGAAGAGCCACAAGACTTGCGCACGAAAGCGGAGGCATCACTAAAGCTGCCAGTGCCTTAATTTCCCCAGCACCTTCACCGCGCAACAACGACACGCTGGAGCATCTTCGCAACCTACACCCTAACGAAGATCCTGACGATATTGCTACTGCGTGGGATTCCAGCATCAAAGCTGCGGGAGATAGTATTTAAACGCACAGGATAGACTCCGTCACCGAAGGTGATGAACCATTCGAAATCAAGTTCATCAAGCAGACGGTAAAGAAAGCCAACCCTCAGAGTGCTCCGGGGCCTGATGGTCTTCGTTTTTCGTATCTCCAAGCTGGTGGGATGAGTGATTTTTTTACTGAAACCTTGGCGGACTTCAGCTTTAAAGTCTTCTACTACGGAGACGAGCTTCCGGATTTCTTTTGGAACCTCCACACCAGTGCCAACCTTTCAGCGCTGGGAGAGAAAAAACGGCCGATTGCAGTTGGAGGGGTTTTGCGTCGCATCATCAGCGGCAGCTTCTGCCGCCAGTACAAGGGAGGAATTGCGAACATCTTCGAAGCAGCAAATCAGTTCGGAGGTGGTGTTCCAGGAGGAGTTGAGATAGTGGCTTCCACAGCAGCCCTCAGCCACCAGCAAGGCAGCACCATTCTCTCCTTTGATGGGAAAAACGCTTACAACAGCATGCGCAGATCTTCCATCTTGCCAGCAGTGGCCACTCATACGCCACACTTGGCGAAGTACTTCGGGAACATCTACGCTCGAACCAAGGCGAAACTTCTGTTCAAAATGGAAGATGGTTCGATCGAGGTTGTTCTTCACAGCGCGGAGTTTAACAAGGCTGTAATTTGGGAGGGTTCGGCTTCTGTGTAGGACTCCTTGATAATCATGAAAGAGTTCAACAACAAGCCACCAGTGCCAGGAGTGAAACTCATCGGATACGTCGACGACCTCCAAGCACATCTTCCACCAGGTTTGGCTAGGAACATGCAGGCCATATCCACTGTAACGAATTGGATTCAGGAACGTCTCTCCCAAAAAGGCATTGAGCTCAGTCTCCCGAAATCCAAAGTGCTTTTCCCGGAAGGTCTTTGCATGTCCTCTTTGACAAACGACGAACAGCAACAATTGACGAAAATTGGTCTGTCAGTTGCTGAAGGTGGCATGCCAGTTGTCGGGATCCCAGTAGGAACAGAGGAGTTCCAGAGGAATTTCGTTTCCAAAATCGCCCGTGGTGACCCGGCGGAATTGATACTCCGCCTAGCAACGCTTGACGACCCTCAAGCCAGCTATCAACTGCTGCGTTTATCTGGTGTGCCACGTTTGTTCCATCTGCTGAGGACGATTGCACCGTCTATCACCAACTCTGCCGCAAAAATACATGACAACATGATGATGTGGGCAATGAGTAAAATCGTCCTTGGCAAGATGGCCGACAGCATGAGAATACCAACGGTCAAAGATCTACGCGCAGACCCGACGACGAGCGAGGAGGTAGATTTCTTCAAAGGGACAGCTCGGGCGCAGGTGCACCTACCCATGCGAGAAGGAGGACTAGGAATCACGAGCAATGTTCTCATTCGAGAATCGGCTTTTGTGGCAGGGCAAGCGCTGGTGTTCTCCAAGTCAGTGCAAGCATCGACAGGATACACAGTTGAGCAATGTCTACCCCGGCTTGCCCAGCTACCGACAGGATTGGCTCTGATTGACTCGCTGAAGAAGCTAGAGGAAATCATCACCAAAGAGAAGCTTGAAAAAGCTGTTGGGCAGTCATGGGCTAAACTTGCCACAAGTGATGAGTTACCCCCCGACCTCAAAGGAGTTTACCTGTTGGAAGCAGGGAAGGCAGGAAAACCCGGTGAAGATGGAAACCCTGACGTGGAACATCAACCACCGTC